ACATTTTGAAAGGGTATGTTTTGTAGTATATGGATCATCAATTAAAACAACTAAGTATTTAAAAGAAACAAGTTAATTCAGTGAAATGAACTTTCAGCTTCACTCTACTCCCATGACCACACTGTGAACCTTCTCACCACTTGAACCTCAAGCACAGAGATTCTGAATCGATGCCCCCAACCACAGGCCATCATGCCTGATCTTGACCACCTGCTCTACACCTTCCTCCTGCTAGATGTGCTCTGCAGTTGTCTTAATTTTCTATCAATACTGTATCAAATTACTTCAAATTTAGTAGATTAAAACAACACAAATGTATTCTGTTATTATTCTGGAAGCCAGAAGTCTGAAATCAGTTTCACTGGCTAAAGTCAAAGTGTCAGCAGGGCTGGTTCTTCATAGACCTTCAGAGAAGAATGGTTCCTTGCTTCTGGAAGCTGCATTCCTTGGTTCCAGCCCCCTCCTCTATCTTCGAAACAGACACTTCCACATCCTTCTGTCTGTACACTTTTGCCTCCCTCCCCTCTCTCTAGCACATTCAGTTTCCTCACATCCAGTGCCTTGGACCAAACCCACAAGGAAAGCCCCTCTGGGGACAGTTTTATAATCTACCTTCACTGCTCTTAATTGGGAATTTGATCTTTGATCTTTCTTGATAAAATCTCCCTTTTCTGTGTAAGACTAATACTTGACCTTTGTTCTCTACATTTAAAATTTTTTTCAATTGACACATAATTATACATATAGGGTGCACCATGATACTTCAACTCAAGTATACTGATCATATTAAGGTAACTGTCATATCCATCACCTCTGCTCTTCATCCTTTTTCCTCCTTTCAGGATTCCTCCATCAATTATTCACTTAGATTTTCCATCTCTGACTTTCAGCTAGATTCCTGCCCTTAGCAATAAGTTCTTTTCTCTCATCAAAAAGAAAAAGTGAGGACTTCTGGATGATGTGGATTATTTCTAAGTATAATGAAAACTCCTGCTGGGTATGGTGTAATCCCAGATACTCAGAAGGCAGAGATAGGAGGATGGAGGTTTGAGGTCAGCCCAGGCAAAAGTTAGCACAAGACCCTATTCAAAACAAACTAGAAGCAAAGGAACTGGATGAGGTGGTGGCTCAAATGGTAAAGTGCTTACCTAGCAAACATGAGGCTCTAAATTCAATCCCCAGTACCACCAAAAAAAAAAATCTTGGACATAATACAACAAATAATCATACAAGAACTATGAGATGTTGAAAGAGGAAAGAATCAGACCAGGAACTTTTAAGACTTAAGGAATTGCACAGGGGTGAATTCTCTGGGTTTTATGTTTCATATAATCCACTCCATGAAACCTACAAACCAGAACCACCAACTGGCAAAGACAAGTTAAAAGAAATGCCTCCAGGAAAAACCTGTTTTTTCTAGTTGAAGAACAGGGAAGGGGCAGCAGGAAGGACAAAAACCTTTTTGACAGTACTCCCCCATCCTAATTGTTGCAGTTCAGATATGGTTTGTCCCTCTAAAGGTTCTGTGTTGGAAGCTTTGTCCTCTGTGATGGTGTTGAGGTGGTGGAGCATTAAAGAGCTAGGGCATGGTGGAAGGTAACTAGGTCATGGGTACTTCATCCTCATAGATGGATTAGTATAGGCCTCCTCAGTGGATTGGGTCTTTCAAAAATGGGTAAGTTCTTATGAGAGCTTGTTACAAAGTAAGGCCATTCCATGTATTTGGCTCCTTCTGCGCTTGGCCATTTTCCTGTGTGCTTCTCTGTTATGTTAGAACACTGACAGAGGGCCTTTGCTAAGATGCTGGTATCATGATCTTTGGATCCTTCTGCCACTAGAACTGTGACCCAAATAAACCTCTTTACAAGTTCTATAGCCTCAGGTATGTTCTTATACAAACACAAAATGACTAAAACACTATTCAAACATGATGTATGACTTCCGCCTGTCAATGGAGACCAACTGTGGAGTTGATTTCTGTCCCGTACTTGGTTACACCAAGTGACCTGACCCAGGGCTCTGCATCTTCCAGGACAGTATTGGTGGAGAGAGTGTGGAAAATCTGGACTTTTACTCCCCCACTTGATCTAGTAGTAACGGCAGTTCCTGGGTCGCATTCTCCTCCCTGCCAGAATGATGCCAGTGAGACTGAGTAGGATTTCCCAGCAGAAGGAGGAAGGACCAGTCATTCTTCCAACTATAGAATACAAGGATAATCTTAAAGAGAGTAGGGAGCTAGAGCAAAGGATTCTTTAAAGCCATACAGGAAGCCGATGGCAAACCAACTTGTGTTAAGTCTGCCCTACCTACATTAATTCGTCAAAGGCTGGAAAAACTGAACTGGAGTGGAATAGTACTTAAGTTTTCAGAATGGCTTCCAGGTAGCACAAAACAGATCAATGAGCACTTTAAGGCTCTGACAACTAAACTGTCTAATGATGCCACTTCCCACACTTACATCTCTAGGGCTAAGCTTTCTTTTGAGCTACAGACTAACCTATCCAATGTCTTTTGTTTGGGTAAGATCATTTTTTTCTTCATGCACTGAGAAGTTTGAGTGGTTCAAAATTACTTAACCTTTTCAAGTCTTAGTTTCCCTCCATAAAAGAGGATAATGGTACTTTGCTGATTTATTGTGGAGGTTAAATGAGGTAAACACCACTAGGAAGCTTCCAAGGCTGGATATATACAATAGATACTCCATACATGATTAGTATCACCTATTCTTGACAAAGTTCCATTTCCTCAAGGGAACCTGTACTTTCTAAAGACAAAGCATGGAGGCTCTGAATTATCAGCCCATTTGCTGGAAGAGTTCAAGCCTCCTTAGAGTTCAGAAATTGCTTTCTGCATTGGTCAGTGTTCTTGCTGGGGGGAGAAGGGGAGGGTGTGTAACATTTTGGATAGCTGTACATCTGAATTCTCAGAAAGACTTTGTAGTCAATTGAGTCTTGCAATAAACAATTGCTTCATGTAATGAGAATGCCTCAGGATCCCGGGTGAGCTTCAAGTTTATGAGGTTGATTTATATCTGAAATGAAGATTGTTTCATTTCAGATCCCTTTAACTTAAAGGAAAAAATAAAGCACAATGTTATCTTGCAGCAGATACCACTCCAATGATTATTCATAAGACCCCCTCAGGGCATTTACAGTAACACAGGCATGAATAGCCTCTTTTCACAGAGGACGGTACGGCCTGGAGAGGAAGATCCATTCACTCCTACATAGTTTTGTATTCTGATATTTTCATATATTGTAATATATAATATATTCTGAGAAGCCATGGATGCTTATTCTCAATTCTCTCTAGTTGAATTTTAAAAAGTCACTTAATAAAAGTACACTGACAAGGATCATATTGTCCTCATTTTGAACACACATAAAGGAATTAAAGTGTTGTGAAATACACCAACCAGTTTTTACTAACCTCTCAACCTCCAGAGAAATGACTTGCAATTAGAGTTGTCATAGCTAAGCAATATTTTTAAATACCAGAAGGACTTTAACTGATTTCACTAAAATGTAGTTAGTATAACATGAAGAAATTAAAATTACAATTGAGGTGGCATACAGTAAGTGAGAAAGCTTTAATGGTCTTTCTGGTCATAGAGCTAATAGCCATTTTATGCAGAATGCAGTGAAACAAAGATGCCTTTCTCCATAGCCAAAGTGTATTTGTAGCCAGGACTATTTTGCTAAGGCCATATACAGCTGTACTTGGTTATAGGAACATTACTTATGTGAGACCATAAAGAACAGATGTATTTGAGAGCACATAAGGCTCTGCACATTTTCTCCCAGTGGCAGCCAATCAGAAATCTTGCTGACAGGCAAACTTGTACAGAACGAATGATCCTATTTAGATTAATGCCTCTTAATGCCTTACACAGGCCTGCTTTCCTGGCCTATCGTGGAAAGAGCAGGTCAGTTCCATTTAAAACCCAGAGATAGAAAAATTCAAACTTGATGACTTGATAAAATAGATGACAACACTAGCAGAGAATGTGGAGTGCTCAGTCCTTGTGAAATAGACTAGTGGGCTCTACCCTAGCTCTAAGGTCAGCCATGAGGCACTCTGGAAAATGAGCACTCTGCCAGTGCATGGTCTAGAGAACTGAATTTTAGCTGTGGCTCTGTTATTATTGGTTTGGCACTTCACTCTCTAGGCAGTAATGGGATACACTGCATACTTTGCACTGGAACTTTGAAATGCCCTCCCTATCTGGGGGTTTCTGGCTCTGGGGTTTCACCCAAGGGATGTTAATCTAACACTCTACAGAAGATTGAAATGTGCTTACTCAGCTGGGCTTGCTTTCTGCCCTGCCTCTATGTTAATGAACATAAGGAGGACATACCTGGGCTAGCCCACTGGGTCCACTAAGCTGATAGGCAGCACATGGAGCACATAGATGTGTGAGCTAGCCCCAGCCAAGCCCAGCAAAGATTAGCCAACATGAAGACTGTGAGCAAAATGTTTCTTGCTGCAGACCATTAGAATTTTCGGTTTGTCCTACAGCATAACTATGGCCCTAGTTAACCGAAGCAGACACTAAGGATTAGGTGCCCTTGGGCCATCCTTTCCTGGCCTGTCCTCCACTCCTATTTGTAAAATGAGGCATGGGACTAGAGGGTCTCCACAGTCCTTTCTAATGACAACTGGGACGAACAAACCTGGGATGAAAAATTCATCAGAATCAAGGGTCTCAGATTATTCAAGGCCCAGAAAGAAGTGAGGAAAACATCTCAATTGGTGCTGTAGACAGATGGGCTTTTCTCTCCAATGATATCGCCACAAAGACGCCCATAGTGCATACAGTGATGTCAGTGATAGAAGGAAGGTCTGAAAAGGCTGGGCTATGGTATGTCTTAACAGCCAAATCCTTAACAAAATTTGTTTTTCTTTTGGTTTAAACCAGACAAATAAATAATCACACCAGAAGGCAGGATAGGAGAAAATGGAAATATTTATTTTTAAACACTAGTACATTTCAAGCTGTTTTAAAAGGAAAAATCATGTTATATTAGTTCAAAACTATGCATCAAAGCATTTATTTAAACTCTAATTTTACAAACACATAATGAAAGAAACATATATTTTATAAATATCTACTCAGAATAGGTATTATGAAAAAAAGTGTTTAAAAATAACAGCCCCAGATCTCCCTCTTTAAATTTATAAAATTCCCATAGAATTCCTAAGAATTCTTCCTCAAGAGCCAAAAATTTCATTTCACAAAGTTCAACTCAGTTCTCATCAGACACAATCAAAAGTAATAGGAATATTAAAAAAATGTAAAATTTCTGTACAAGGGAATACAGATAGCACATGGGTAAATCTCATTACCATACATGCCATTTGTGTTTTTTAAATGTTTTATAAAAACTGCCATTTAAAACAAATAAGTGAGAATCCTTCCCTGACTGTGGAAAATATATAAATTATCACCCTCCCACCTGGGTCCAGAGGCTTCCACCTGCTGGAGTGGAGGAGAAGCTTCTATGTGTTTCCTGAGGAGGGGTCTGAGCCACATGTGGGGAACTACCTTACCTCTGGCAGTAGCTCTTTCTAGTGGGTCCTCTGTTATTTCCTTTTACTTAGAAAAATTCTTCGGGACCAGAGAAGACAATTGCTCACAAGTGAAAGTAAGACTGAGGAATGACCTCAGATTGCTGAAGCCAACCCATAATATGTTTTGTTTGTTTGATGACCAAACTCTGGAAGCCTGATTTACCACTAGGTGGCACCCAGCCACCTACCCCATCCAAACACAGGGCATAGCCCCAAGACTGTCCCTTCATCTTTCCTCTTCCAGCCTGAGGTGGCTATTGCCTACAGTAGTGTATGTATATGGACTATTGTCTCTTCTGACACTTCTTTTGGAAAGAGCTCTTCAAAAATGTGCGGTACACAGGGTCATCCACGTATTCGTTCTTGAACCTGGAGCTCAGCACTCTTTGTCTCTTCCTCTCCCCTTGGATTATGTCTGTTCCATAAAATGTGTCTTCAAATCTCATGTCAGAAGCTGTGGACTAAAAGCAGCAAGTGTTACTTTATGGAAAGTATTGACCATCACAGGATGAGATACAGATCTGATTCTGCCAGCTGGGGCAGGGGCCAGAGGCCAGAATCCAGCTGTGGCTAGGAGGGCCCCACCCACAGCTTTAGATTCTCCTCATCTCTCCTCAACAGCATCATCTAGTGGGGACAGGTAGCTCTATTTAGTCCCACTTTCTCCAGAAGCGCCAACCTCTTCTTCCACCTCCCACACCCAGGAATCTTCCCCAAACAAAAGTCTTCTATTTTGAGTCTCCCTCACTCTCCATCTCTCCTCTGGCTCCTGCCTGATCAGGTTTTTGGCAAATTTGTCAACAGTCATCTCTATTTTACCCTTACTGCTTTTTACCTTCTGGCCTCTTCTACCACTTGCCTGAAGCTGATCTCATTAAAATCCTAGTTGCTAATTCCTATGGTATTTCTTATAAGCCCATCCTCCAGCCTCCTCTTCCCTCTTTGGCTGTTCATTTTTGATGTCCCAGAGGTCCCCTTTCCTGAGCTATCTGCTCCATCATGATATCACTAGGGCTCTGAATTTGTTTAGCCTTCAATTCTCCAGGTATGCTCCATAAGCCTTTGTGTCTACACTCACGGTTTCAATATCTATGCATATTCCACAGATGCTCAGTCTCACTCTGGTTTATATCTTCTGTACTCAGGCCTGGGGGGTGTCCACTTGCTCAGCAGGCACCTCAGAGTGTCTGTCTCAGAGGCGCTTCAAATGAACCTGTTCTAAACTGAACTCAAAGTCTTCTTCCTTCATCACTGTCCTCACTATATTTCAAATACCATCCTCACCTGTACAGTCATAAAGGTCAGAGTCCTATTGCCACTGTGCCCTTCCCATTATCCTTACCCTGCCCAGGAGTCCACTTCTGTCTACCCTGAAGACCTCCTGATCCCATGGTGCAAGCCCTCACACTTGCCCTCCCAAATCACTGCAATAAATGCTTACAAGCCCCTATCTCCCACAGAACCACTAGAAGAAAGCTCTCTAGAAACACTGATTATACGACTATATAAAGCTATGTGTCCCAGCTCCTACTCTTTCAATAGCTCTGTGACCTTCAAGATAACATGCACACTACTGAGGCTGGACCTACATAACTGGGCATGTATGGTTCTACCCCACTCTCTGAGAAGACTGAGTTATTTGCATTCCTGGCCACACCTCACTGGCTCAGGGCCTCATGCTTCTGTCTTGGACATACCATTTCCCTTCCGTACAAGATACTCGATCTTCTCTGCCACAGGTAAGCTCGGTATTCCTGTAAACCCCTGTACGTCACTGCAGTCGAGTGAGGCAATGGCAGAGTTAAGGGGCAGGTGGGTACTTTCTTCCCATCAGGGATTCTATGAAGGGGAAGGATATTAGGAACCGCGTACCAAATTCTATATGTTCCCAGCAATACATGATGTAGCCAGAATTCAGTCATTACTCAGTCAGTGTGAGTGAAGGGTATAGGCTTTTTCTGAGATACTCAGTTTTCTAAACTATTTTGCCACCTAAAATACATTCCCAACTGATTGTTAGTGAGGTAGAAGACTTCTGATGATGCCAGTATACAGTGCACCTCACTGTATCACCAAGACCATTTGCTCTGGTTTGCAACAAGTAGAGAAGAGCCTGAAAACACATGGCCCACTGTGAAGAAGAGTAAAACAAGGAAATAGACAAGCCTGAAAACCAAAAATGGGTTCAAGTTCATGAGACAGTTAACCAGAGTAACAGACTACCTCTGTGGGTATTCATGATTTACCCAAATTCGCTTGGAAAGAAAAGTGAGAGAATGGGTTGGCTGGGCACTCTCTGCCATTAAAAGGAAACATTTTGCTTCATTCAACTCTTGGCAAAGCACTTACTCTGTGTAATTTTTTACTCTAATAAGTGCTAAAGTTACCAAAGGAGAAAATAAAACATCTATGAAAAGTGTTACCATGGCAGGAACAGTGAAAGTCAGCCTCTCAAACACAATAATATAGCCAATTTACCAGAACTCCAGTTAATTATGCACCGTTGCCATGGTTATTCTGAGACAATAAAAGATAATGGGGCCATTTCTGAAATAAGTGGAAAAGAACCCAGTACAATCATGAGGTGGGCTGCTGACTCTTTTGAAACATTTCTCCCCCCTCCAGCATAAATCTGGGTGAGCCAAAGTCATTAAAACATGAAGGCCTTCTGATGAGAGCTGCTAACCTACCTCCCTAAAAATGAGAAAGATTTCCTCTAACCGTAAAATATCTTCCATCATTGACTTTTCCAATTAGATTTGTTTCACCAACTGGAAAAAAAATAGCAGTCATGGGTAGATGACCCAAGGGCCAGAGGGATATTCACCCACCTGATGGAAAGGCAGGTTAGCTATAGCCCAGGCTATCAGTCTTTGATCCAATAACAACAGAATGGCAAACTGGATGCAGGTATCTTAGCCTTTGCTCCTAGAGATATTCCTACTATGTTCAGATTTTTGGCATAGCAGACCATGTTCAGTCTATGTGTGCGATTTGTAAGTCTTTCATTGCTTTTAACTAAAAAAATCCTCTGAAAATTAAAAAAAGTTGAGTGCTAGTGTGCTTCAGGGAAATGGACTTTAGAAAACTCAGGTAAAACCAACTGAGATGGCATCCTGGTATTGGAGCCAAAATTTACTGTGGAATAAAGAGACTGCAAGCAGTGTAGAAAGCAAAGAAATTCCATCTAATGTCAGTAAGAAATAGCATTTGAAATCTACAAGACTCAGCTGGCAGGATACTCAGCCATAAACAATGAGAAAACCACAATTAAAAGGAACTTCCAGAAGGCTATCTATTCCATTCTTCACCCTCTAAATATAAGGGTGCTAAAGAAAGGAAAGAAAGGAGAAGGGGGGCAGGAGAGCTGAGGGAAGTTAGGAATATAGAGTGTGAGGCAGCCATCTCCAACATCTTGAAGGGTCTTCTCAACAGATTACCAGATCTTTGAACACTGGCAAGTTATATAAGTTATTTAGGGCTTTGTTAAGATTTAGCTGGTGACTTTACAATAGCCACCACATTTAATCTTCCTTTTCCTTGTGGTTAATCTGTTTATAGGTGTACAGGTCACCTGCATACCACATTTCTCAATGAGTAGGTAGCAGTACTGCTATTATCACTCTTCTTTAGACTATTTCACTTTGAAAGATGTTCTTCTTGAGGATGCAGCTGAGAGAAAAGTCAATTCACACCTGATGCAGGTTTCCTGTGGTCAAGAACCCAAGTGATAAGAAAAGGAGCTGAATATATGCCTTACCATTTAAGGAAACCATCTTTTTTTTTTCCAAAATAACCAAATAATTTATAGTAACTGTCATTGTAGAAAAGTATCATAAGCATGTACTGAAAACTAAGGGTCATTTATTCAGGAAAAAATTCATTTTAGACAGAAAAAAATCTGATCATTCAAATTTTCCTGTTTAGGATTTGTCATTTCATAGATGCAGTAGACATAATTCTAAATGAGTAAAACTGATTTCATTTCAGGATGCACTAAATATTTTATGTCACAATAATATGAAACCTAAATAACTGCAAATTATATTTTATTTCCTTTAAAAAAAAATAAAAACCTTTAGCATTCCCACTACTAGACTCAGGCTTTGTTTACCCCTTTATTAAGAAAGTAAAGGCTTAGTCTAATTATGAGCTGACAGAAACATTACTGATCTTTTGATACAGAATTTAACACATGATAAGGCTGCCGGAGACCAGATATTCACATGTGCTGACTCCCTTTAACCTACTATTTCCTTTTAATTTTGCTTCTGCTAGCACGATAGTGAGTGTCTTGATGGCATCACTATATGCTCCTGGTGCTTTGCAAGAGGAGGAATTCAATGACTATTAGTGCATAAATAATAAAAATAAGTAATAAATGTTAACACAAAGAACTGTCATTTAACATCATTAGAAGAAATGGAAATCACATACCCTGGTTTCCCAAAAGCCTAAGAATGTTTTCTGCTGGGCTTGGGAAACACAGGGAGAGGAGGAGGACTTCACTGGTGGGTCCCCAGCACTTACGAAACGAGCCTTCACCCTCTTGGGCAACTCTTCATCTAAGGTGTAGATGTCCTCTCTCTTCATTGCTATCTGGGATCCATCTTCAAATTCAACCTAATGAAACAGAAGACATCATGACATGTATTATAAACAAACAAGTACTGACTATTTTTAAGGGTCCCAATTAATCACGAAAAAAAAAAAAAAGGTAAAAAGCACCCAAGTTGAACAAATACAGAACTAGCCAACATCTACCAAAGAAAGTAAGTTGATCTCTTTTCCTTAATAAATTAAGAACAAAATAGATTTTTTTTTTGCAGTGCTGGAATTCAAACTCAGGGACTCATGCTTGCCAGGCAAGTGCTCTACTACTTGAGAAACACCCCAACCCTCTGATCACTTTTAATTATGTTTTAGATAGGGTCTCACATTTGCCTGAGACTGGCCTGAAACAGATCCTCCTACCAATGTCTCCAGCATCTCTAAGATTACAGGCATGTAGTTGGGATAACAGGTGTGTATTATCATACCTGGCCAACAAAAAAGATTTTAAGACAGACAATGTTCTAGAATATGAGAGGCTTGGAATGTGAGATGTGAAAACTGTACACTCCAAAACAAAACAAGAAAAGTAGGGGCTGAACAAATGATTGTTCAGGACATGATACAGTGGCAAATTCAGCACTAAGATGGGCTGGGGCTGTTAGTGCCATGCCTCTAAGAGGCTCTGACCTCGTACAGGGAGAGCCATCCTTCTGAAAATCCTATTTCACTTAGAATATTTTGGAATACCCTAACTTCTCTGTTTGTCTGATTCTTCACTTTTAAGAAATGAAAACACTCTGGTACTTCTTGTCAAATAGAGAGGTAAACCATGAAGCTGTGCTATGTTAATATATAAACAAAACTCTACTGGAGGTTGAAAAAAAGATGAAATAAATAATTAAGCTCCATTTCCTTTCTTTTTAAAAAAAATTAAAATTATCTAGATATTGTTAACATTTCACTAGGCCAGACAATAGGGTAGAATTAGATTTCTGTCAAAAAACAATTCTTGCTTTCACTTTTTGGAAGGGTGAGGATGGGAATGGTTTTCTTTCTAATTCTGTTTTAGCAGATGGTTTCTTTAATATTTAATTAGGCCAAAGTGTCATCACATTTGTAATATTTGATTGTGTGGCTGGAACTACCTGTGCCTACCTTTCTTTTGTTTTAGACCATTTGAAATTTGTAAGAGAAAAAGGAAACTGCAAAACTAAAAAAGCATAGCATGCTGGAACCATCCTGGTTTGCTGGGGAATCAGGAGTGCCTCTGGAAGTCAGACTTTCAGTATAAAAGCAGTTACAGCCCCAGGCAAGCAGGGACAGTTATTCATCCTACTTACAACAGGGCTGAGAGTAACTTCCAACCCTTCTCTTTACCACCTGTGTACTCTTGAACAAATTATCAAAATTTTGTTCTTTTTATTAAAAGTTAATAAAAAGTTCTTCATTGAACCTTTCCCCCTTTCATTTGTAAAAGTCAATACATCCTATTTTACAGGACTATTGAGAGGGTAAAAAAATGTATACAGTTAAAATATTTAGCACTCTGCACCAGATATGTAAAAGTTTACATCTATTTTTCTAAATGTCTTTGCTTATTCAATGGTGGAACTGAACAGACACAAAACCCAAAATGATCTCAAAAGGCTACTTGGTTTAATAAGGAATTTTAAACTACTTATATCTGAGAGGAAATTTTAATATGAGTTTTTTTCATTGAGTCTATAAATATGCCCATAGTTTTATTTTGATAGGCCATGATAAATTCAACTGCAGTTAAACAAACTGGTTACTAATTGGCCTGAATTTCAACATGTCCTCATTATGTAATACTTTTCATGTAGCAACAGATTTGCTACACATAAGAAGCTTCACTTCTGCACTTGTTTAATTAAATATAATTATTTTCTTTTGAATGATGTAACAATGCTTCTTTTCCAGGGATCTCCAATATCATCAGTCTGCCTTATGATTTTTGCCTAATTCTGACCAATCTGTAGCTTCTGTACCTGCCCTATTAAAAGTACATTGTCATCAGTCCTATTTGCAAAGGGAAGATGGCCTACACCACACACACACACACACACACATACACACACACTCACACAGTGTAACTCCTCCCCTCCATGGGGTTTTCTAGACCATGAATTATATTCTCTCCTGTTTTTCAAAGCTTCTTTGAACACCTTTAATTATACTGTACTCTAGTTCCTGGTGCAGGGTCCTATAATGTACTATTCTATTTAAGCCCTTGGTCATCAGTCTTCAAACAATGTATCTGCAGGAACTGGCAGTTTTATCATTTTCAAGCTTTTTTCAACTTAACAGGCCTGAACTTTCTTGCTTTTTCCCCTTTCACTTCAATTTTAACTCTGCTGTTTACCCTGGCATCTTGGTCCTTGCCACAGTGTTACTGAAAAATACTACAATGTGGAGGGACAGAGAAAAAAAAAAGGAAAATATTCCAATATGTTGGTTCTAAAAAAGGTGTCTCTTTTTAAAGCTACCTAAAGGAATATAGATGTACACATGCAATCCTTGTTCCTTCTTTAAGTTTAACTCGTCCTTGTTTTTGGAATTAACTAACTTCATTTTTAATCATAAACTCTTTAGCACTATGTAATGCTTCCTAATGAACAGAGTCCCCTGATAGCATTTCCTTAAACAAACATACTGGATAACCACAGCTCTTTAGGTCATTAACTGGCCACACCTGTGTCAATGCGTTGTTGGGTTAAGTTTGGCTGAGCTGCCAAGGGGATGTCTCTCTAGCAAAAGCTATCAATTCAAGGGCTACTGGCTGAAGAATAACCATCACTGTCCTCATTTTAGGTGAGATGAAACCTGCCAATTAGTCTCTTCTCATAAAATGGAAACAGAGGAAAAATCCTGTCATCCACTAGCTGAACCATACTCCTAACCAACCATTCATCAAGTGTTGTTAGGGTTTTCCACTGTCCAACCTTGAAACCAACCTTCAAAGCTTTAACCTGGTCATTAGAGATTCAATCTCTGTCATCTTCATAAAATATGAGGTAACCTAAATGCATTTGGCTTTTGGATGTGGCATGCTCTATCTCAACAAGCAACGCAGAGAAGGCAGCACCCACCTGGTACATGTAGGCAACATTTGATCCAAGGTATTTTGCTCCATAGAGTTTGCCATCAGGCCACTTGACTTGAACTACTTCTCCCTCAGCAGGAGGGCCCAGCTTCACACAGTCTCGGCTCTGTGAAATAAACAGAGGCAGGCTTTTCAAAGCGAGTGCCTAAGCAACTGCATTTAGAACTCAGAAAATGATGAACTCCTGGCAATTAAAAGGAGTTATTGCCTCTGTGTTTTATGGATTATGATCTCTCATGGATGCTCAGGGGAACAGATATGAGCCAAAGGAATACTTAAAGATTCAGCCTACATCATAAAGTTGCAATGGAATCACCATAACCCAAGCAGGAAAAAAAAACCAGCAGCATTTACATTTGCTATTTGACAAAGAATTGTTCAGTGAGTAACTAAAATACTCAGAGAAACTGCTTTAGCTGAGGAAGAGACCACCTAATGATTTATAACACCTGGCATTGATATAGCAGTTTACAGTTAACAAAATGCTTCAGCATAAATTTAATTTGATCATTATAACTACTCTCTGAAGTAAACATTATTAATTATCCCCATTTTACTGACAAGGAAACTGAGCCTCCAAGGAGGCTCCCTTAAGTTGTCAGGATCTCTAAAGGAGGGAAGTTAAAATGTGAGAGTAAGAGCTGGGGCTACCCAGATGAGCTAGATGCAAAGTGAGCTCAGATTTGGCAGGGCTTGCCAAGGCAGCAGGGGAAAGGTGAGTAGGGGTACCTGCAGATGGCAGGTGAAGTAGGTGGGCTGTGTCCTGCTTCACAGCCTCTTAAGAACCCTGCTCCTTCTCAACAAGAACCAGCCCATTCCCTTCCACAGGTAATGTAATTGGCTACATAACCATCTTCTCATTTCAGGTCTTTGGTTCATGTTGCAATCTCCTACAGGGAGTTCATCTGGAAGGGGCTTTTGGGGGACGGAAAGTATGAGTAACTTAGCAAAATATTCATCAAGTTTGTAAACTCTTACATTTGAATATATTGGGTATGACAATAAGATTTTAAGACAAAAGAATTAAGTACTCAGCTACTTTGGTACTAGCTTTTGCATACTTGGCAATTTCATGATTTACTAACAATGGAGTCTTACTGATGAGGACAATCTACCTGACTGAAATGTGCACCCAACCAATCAAGCTATAAATCGGCCTGGGCACGTTCTGTCATTTAAACGAGGTACACATAGGAAATACTTAGTGTTTATTACTAGAAACCCATCATGCATTTCTTTTAATTAAAATAGAAATTATGTCTTATAAAGGAGTGGCCACTTTATTGTTGGGTTAGGACTATACATGAAATGCCTGGCTGTTCATTTTTTGAACTGCAGGCTATGTTTCTCTTTAGAGCCACAGGCAAAACAACAACAACAACAAAAACTGGTGTACTCAGATGCTCTAGAGAACTGACAGTCTGCATCTAACTTAGTCAAATGAAAATAAACTTGTTCTTGGCCTTCACAATATTCGACCTCAGGGCATGCAGAATGGCAAGAGCATTGCTGTAGAAACACTACTACATGCCCAGGGGGTTTATCACCCCACTTTCCATTTCCCTCCCAAAGAGTTAGGCGGCACTAAGAACACTGAGGGCACAAGTTCTAAGTACACAGTGAATGCATGAGTCCAGTCTGCTGGCATAAGAAGTCACTTCAGCTCTGGGATTACTCTAAACTGAAACCCAGATGCTTCAGTAAATGTGTAAGGGACGGGGGAGTGGGGCAGTTCACTTCTTCCCCTCTGCTAAAGTTTTCTTGCATCTGGAGGGAGTTTTGCTAAGGTCATGTTTCTGGTTCTTTTTCACTCCCTCACAGCCTCTATCAAGAGGACTAGGAATGACTTAAATTTATTGTTGAGCTATGAAGGAGACTGAATTTCCCAAATTATGTGCCATTAGTACCCTTGGGCACCACAATAAACCCATGGAGATTCTGTGGGGTACTTTCAGGGGAAACACAGTGACACTTGTGAGACAACTACCTTCCTAATACTATTTAGTTGTTAGGCCCTAGCTTACTTAACAGATAGAACTGGTAAGGTATTTCTTTTGATACAGGGGAATTGTAAAAAATGTACAGTGATACTAAGGGTGTTGTGAGCCAAGACAGTTTGGGGATCTCTGGCTTACTCTTCTTTCTCTTAGGAGCCATCTTGTAGGCAGAGAACATGCACTGCTCTTTGCTCTTCCAGAGAAGAGACTGCAGTTAACTGGATCACCTGCCACTAGGTAAGCAGGTCCAGGCTTGGAGACCTGTTTGCCCACAGTTATAAGCCACTCTCTCTAATAAAGGCTTTAGTAGTAATAAAGGTGACCATTTTCATCTCCAAATCCTGGCTCCTTTGTTTCTCTGTATTACTTTACCTTGCACAGGATGAGAAGCACTACTTATTCTGAATGCCAACAAAGGCAAGGTTGTATACTCCTTATCTACTTTCCTACCCCAAACACCTCCAAGTGTGTGAGTCAAAGCATTCCTTTATAACTTGAATCCTTAATTTTATAGACTTGACCTTCAACAGAATTTACTAATCTTTAAAATGTATTACCAAATATATCCTGTCCTGCAATTTAGGTTCCATATCACTAAGTTGAGGGCTAATAGTCATAGAAATGTAGCCAACATTATATATAAAGTATGCTTGAAGAATTTATCATAAAAATACAACTTTATTAATAAACTAAATGAAATTTTACCAAGTAACAAATTCTTTTTTTTTTGGCAGTACTGGGGCTTGAACTCAGTACCAGCCACCAGCCCTATTTTTGTGAAGGGTTTTTCGAGATAAGGTCTAGCGGAACTATTTGCCTGGGCTGCTTCAAACTACAATCCTCTTGCTCTCTGCCTCCTGAGTAGCCAGGATTATAGGCAGGAGCTACCGGCGCTCAGATCTCCAAATAATAAATTATTTATTTAAAAAACGATTTCAAAAGCAAAATGTCTGAAACACAGCTTGTTATCCTTTTTCACTAGTTGTCAACCCTTTATTCACAACAAATCTTAACTTGGCATTGAAAGTACTTGACCTCAAATAATTATTTAGGGTTTAGGCTCTAACATTGCTATCAGTCACAAAGATCAAATTCATAATCTTTCAAGTAATACTCTAAGGGAGACATTTCAGTTAGCTTTCAGAATTCTTTTTCTTTATTCACAGTATAAGAAAAATAATCAAAACAGCCAAGATGCCCACCACTGACAAATGAATTAAGAAAATGTGGTATCTATACACAATGGAATTTTATGCAGCCATGAAGAAGAACCAAATGTTATCATTCCCACATAAATGGATGGAATTGGAGAACATCATTCTGAGTGAGGTTAGCCTGGCCCAAAAGACCAAAAACTGTATGTTCTCCCTCATATGTGGAGATTAGATCAAGGGCAAACACAACAAGGGAATTGGACTTTGATCACATGATGAAGCGAGAGCACACAGGAAGGTATGAGGATAGGTAAGACATCCAAAAAATTAGCTAGCATTTGTTGCCCTCAATGCAGAGAAACTAATGCAGATACCTTAAAAGCAACTGAGGCCAATAGGAGAAGGGGATCAGGAACTAGAGAAAAGGTTAGTTCGAGAAGAATTAACTTAGAAGGTAACACACATGTACAGGAAATCAATGAATGTCAACTCCCTGTATAGCTATCCTTATCTCAACCAGCAAAAACCCTTGTTCCTTCCTATTATTGCTTATACTCTCTCTACAACAAAATTAGAGATAAGGGCAAAATAGTTTCTGCTGGGTAGTGAGGGTAAGGGGGGGGAAGGGAGGGGGAGTTAGGGGGGCTAACAGATGGGGCAGGGGGAAGGGGGGAGAAATGATCAAACATTGTATGCACATATGAATAAAATAAAAATTAAAAAAAGAAAAATAATCAGCCACATATAACAAGACAAATTGTTCTGTGACTGCTCCACTCACAAGCACAGGCATTATTCTTAGCCATCATGGCTACTTTCTCACCCTTGCCAGATTTAACTGGAAATGTATATATTTTGATTTGCATACAGCTTTATGTAGTATATATAATTCATTGTTTACTGCCTGGGTACTTTTGCAATGGATTTAAGACAGCTTGTAATAAGACACAAAACTCTATTTCTGTAACATCTCATTTTCCTCCACAAAGACGTGGTGTCAATTCATCAGCTGTCTCACATTTTGCATTTGCCAGAAACATTCTATGAGTGTGTGGGGTAGAAAGCATTTAAACAGGAATGAAACTAGGGGTGTGTAGGCTGATGAAAATAAGTTGAAAGGTTTGGTATTTAGGATTCCGATTCCTCCCAAGCAAAAGCTGATGAGTGTCTCCAAAGTTGTCACAATCTCTAATTCAATACCAACTTTCTGACCACCTACCATATGTGAGACACTAGGAGGCAATAATGTCCAGTTGCCCAAGCTAGGGACAGACAGAGTGCATCTCACCCACACTTGGAGGCTGGGACCTCCAGGATCCTCAGCTTTGTTGCCCATGATAACTTCGACCAGAGTAGAACTTTATTTTGATTTATATATTGGGTTTCTCAGTAAGATTGCATTTGGGAAAAAAGTTTCTTTTAAAAATAAAAGGTCTCAAAAATATTAAAAACACAAAAGGCCTACCAATAAGGTTTGGTTTATAGAAAACACCAGCTTGAAGGGACTGCCTTGACTCTTAAAGGTCTCCAGCAGCTCACACTCCCTTGGCTGTGCATGAGAAATGACCACCGGAGCACAGCTTCTCAATGTGTGGTCCCACAAGGGGGACGTGTTAAAAATGAATGTTCAAGGGCTCCCAAAGCTCTCTGTGACCAGGGTGATTCTTCTTAAACATTCTAAACTTTAAGAGTGATTATAATGAAGGATGTAAAATGTTAAAGAGGTCTTTTCTAATACATGTTTTGGTGTGTTATGGGAGCAACACCCTTTGCTATAAAATTATATGCATTAAAACTTGACTAATGCATTTTTCTCAGTTGTTGTCTAGACCCTCCGAAGCAGCTTGCCTTCACCTGACATAAATAGCTGTTTACCAGTTACTGCACTGCCTCAAGGGATGTGTAAAACCGCCTAAAATCTACCAGAGCCTGTTCACAGGGACACTGGTGTCTAG